CCAGCTGCATTGACATAGCTGTACAAGTAGCAAGCTGTTTTCTTGTCAAGTCTAGTATGTAAGCCTGCAGTGGTTCCAACATGGCAAGTGGTTAGTCATATCTCAGGAGCAAGAAAAACCTGGCCTTCTTTGGCTGTCAGAGCAATAACAGTATGTTATGAGCTGCAACTTCACTTCAAGGTTAAGGGCTAGACCTTGCAAATCCCTATCCTTAAAATAATGGAAAACAGCATAGTAAAATCCAGCATCTGGAAGCTAGATAGTTCCAAATGGAGAAAAAGCTGCAGCCGTTCCGTGGTGATAGTAATTGGATGCCGGCACACTGAGGATTTGGTGGGCCCTTCATCGCTTTGACTCTTACAGGTGGGTTCAGATGTCTTTTTAAAAGCTCTGCCCCGTGTCAGCTGTAAGAAACAGCTTGTGGTTGAGCTTTGCTACAAGAATGAATGAAGGAGGTAAGTATCGCAGCCTTCCCACAGGCTGTCAGATTCCTGTCTGTAATGGTCCCTTTTTGCCAGGGAGAAAGTATGGTCAAAGACAGCAGATGGTAGGCTGAGGTCTTATTGATCCCTTCTTTTAAGGGGTCTCTGCAGATCCACTTTGAGAAGCTCCTGATTTTGATGGATCTGCAGCTGTGGGGAGACACTGTAAAAGTGATCAGCATCTTCTCATTTTGGCATCTAGCACGTAGACACGAGGCTGTGGCTGTCAGTGTAGCATCACAGAGGAGTCACTGGGCTAGGTCCTGGTGAGTCCACCCCCATCCTGAGCTTGCCTTTGAGTTGTTTCATCTGAAGTTAGATATGCTTGCTCTGAAGTTTACCTGCTGACCCACCCTGATGGCTAGTATTTTTGTAGTTCTTGATGGTGCTTCGAATCCTCTGAGGGATGATCCAAAAGTACTATGGGTGTTAATGGAACCTTTGCAGCCAGGCTTGCACAATGGACCTACAAGAGAGGGTATAGAAGGTTCTTGTGCGTACCCAGTGCACAGGACAGCCTTTCTCAAGAGCCCTGAATTCAAGTTGCTTGAGTACTCCTAGGACTGGTCCCTAGTGAGTAATGTGCTGGGATTGGGAAATATTGTCAGCCTCAGAAAGAAGAATCAGGGACTTGGAACCAACTTTTACAGATCATGGAGCTGCTTAGTGTGTTAGACAGCCCTCTGGGGAGCTTTCTTCCATTTATTGTGGGTGATGGTGGCAATAAACAGTGCAGAAGACTTGGGAGAGTTCCCCTTTCCCCTGGACTGGATTTTCCTGTGATAGAGCTGTCACTTGCCTGAGGGAGATTTCTTCAGCCTTACGGTCCTGACTGCTGGGGAGCAAACAGGCGCTTGGAGAGGAGCCGGTGAGCTGCATCAGCACTTGCAGCTCTACATGCATACAGCTGTACATCCTGCAGCGTCTGAGCTCCAAACTGGCTCCGTTTCCACAAGCGTAACGTTTTCAGCACTTCGTTAGGGTCAGCGGCAGCCCTTGGCTCTGTGTCTTGTTGGAGCAAAAACTCCCCCTGCTAGATGGTTCTCCTTTGAACCTGCTGCAATGGCTGATGGATGTTTAGCCCTCTGTTGCTGAGGCCCAGCTCCTGCTCCCAGATCTATATGGGCAGGTTTCCACGGGTTTAATTGCTGCAGTGGAGCTGGCAGAAGCAGGACCAAATCTTTTCATGAAACCTTTTAGCATCCAGTCTGGTCATCCACACCCAGCATCTCTGGGGCTGTGCGCGCATGTGCCTTTCTGTAGCTCTAGGGACAGCCAAAAAACTTGGGAGATCCTTTGTGAAAATGTCCAAGAAGGGCGGGGTACTCATTTTAAACTGATTGTAACTTGAAAATTATTTTTCTGCATAGTGGAAAGTACACTCGTAAACTCCTAGCATTAATCATAGGCGCGTTTCAAGGAAAGTTGTTATCTCTTCATCTGTGCTGTGTTAGCAGCTGGAAGACCTCAGCCCTGGCTGCAGCTAGGAACTAGACAGACACAAGAGCAAGAGTTGTCTTCTCCCCTGTGTCGGTATAAATGCAGGTATTCAATAATATGACAGACAGGGCACCAAGACCCTGCTTGATAAACTGCAGGATGTGAAAGTAAAAGCACGAAGGAGAGGTTGGTTGGGACCGGCTTGCACTTCTGTCACGTAATGAGTAGTTGTACGTGTCAAAACTACAGCTGCTTTCCTGCAGTCAAGCTCTACAGGGATAATTGCACACGCCCAGCACTTTAACATTTGAATGCAACTGGATGGGACCATGGTGTGACAGCTGCACGTGACGGTTGCATTGAGATGAAGAGTGCATCCTTCTTTTGAGTGTCTGTGCAGACTGTGTGCACGCAGACAGTGCGCTTGACTTAAACCGAAACAATCCTCCAGGGTGTCTGGGCAGGGTGATAATCTAAAAGGAATGTAGGGAGTGTAATCGAAAGGGAGAACAAGCATCCCTGGTGAAACTCCTGCGCTGGTCCCCCGTGTGCAGTTGCGTGCCCTCTTCTCTACACACAGTCTCTTCTCCCTCCCTCCCTCCCTGGGAAGGGCAGGCCCTTCTCGCTGCCCGTACTTGTCATGCCAGTCACACACATGCTGGTGCACAGACTAACACCCTCAACAATAAATCTAAAAGATTAATTACAAAAAAAAAGAAAAAAAAAATCCCACAGCCCCACTTGCAGCATTTGAAATGCTTCTCAACCATGCTCCGCTTGGGTTATTCATGGGGAAAAGAAATAACCTCCTGAATCAAGCAATTGAGAATGCAAATATCCCAGACCAGCTCAAAAGAGGAATCAAGCTCTGTACTGTCAAGCTGATTAGCATCCAGTTATGTGGGTTACTGCTCTGGGCCCAGAGGGAAAATTTCAGGACCACAGCTGGGCTTGAGTCTCTGGGATGAGGTTTCTTAAGTTTTCCTCTAGAAACAAATTATAGTAATGTTCCTCCCGGTATCATGACAGACCATAAGATATGTTTTCTTGTTCTCTGTTCATGGCGACTGCCCTTCCTCTAGTGAGATCTTTCAGCCTTTTGTTTCCTGACACTGACCAGCTGTTTTTTGTGAGTTGAGTTTTTTGTTGTAAAATTGAAGCTTTCTACAGCCAGTGGAACAAAGATTTTCTTTTTTCTCTTGTGAGCAGGGAGGGAACGTACGTTGGAGCAGTTTCTCATGGGAGTGGGACTTTTGCTTGCAATAAGAATTTTACACTTTGTTTTGCCTTTTCTACCCCTTCAGGGAAAACAGTGTAGATGTGTCTTCCAGAAAGATTAGGAATTATATCCTGATCCTTTTCAGTCTGTATCCCAGCAGTAGGGTGGGAAATCCAGCATTTGGAAGTTGATTGCTGATATTCAGAGAGAGAAAAGCAAAATAAATCCTAAACTGCTCCCTTGTTGTTATCTCCCAATGAACCATAGTCCTCTATAACATTACTGTTTGCTGCGGATGTCGGAAGGACAAATAAAACAAATGCTTTCCTATGAAGCAGTATTTGTCAGTTATGACCCATGCACAGAGTGACAGCGTGGCTGTAAATGGAAACCACTGGGGCAGCAGCACACAGGCTGCATGGGTTTTGTTTTGTTTTTTCTTTCCCCCCACCTTGAAAAGCTGCTGTGCATCATTGTTTCCCAGCGTCGTTTGTTAGACGGGCTTCGCTTTCTCCTCTTTCTCCCCTTTCCCATCCACTCCGTTTCCCAAGTGGGTGGTCTACAGCAATGTCCAAGAGACATGAGCTGTTTTGACATGTGCTGGCACTGGACGAGCCGGGTGGGCCTGTCATGAGGACAGATCTCTGGACGTCTCATGTGAGGTGTGTCTGGGGCCTTGGGTTTTTCTAACCCACCCTCCTGGATCAGCAGATCAGACGTTTGGGTGGGTTTCCTGCCACTGTCCGAGTTAAACATCTGCCTGCAGAAATATGGCTTTAGAACCAGGTCTGCCACAGCTGTTAAATTAGACCTGGATCCTCGCGGTGTGATGGTTGTTCCTGAGGATCCCTTAACGTAGAAACATGTGGGGCATTCAACATTATCTTCTTTTGGACTGTTCATTCAGTGGTGCAACAAATCACTCCTGCTAATGTTTACTTACCTTTTTCTGCTGGGAGAGCTGCTAATTTGGAGGAGGGAGGCCGGATATAGGCCTCAAGTAATTATTTCACATAGAAATCTAATTTTTGAAGATGTAAATGTGTGCAGCATTCGGAGTAGGCCAGTTCAGCTGACTGAGGTGTAACAACGTTTTTTGGAACTTAAAACAGATATAGCTGTGGTTGGGGGTGGGGCTGCATATCAGGTTAGTAAGTTGTATATTAGGAAGTTTTTCCTCACGTTGGGACTTTTCTCCCCATTTCATCTCCAAGCAAATACATGAAGTGAATGAATACATCAGCAGCACATCCTGGTGAAATCCCGCATTCCCCAGCAGCCTCTGTGCATTGGAAACTGTCTGCGGGACTTTGGGGCTTTGCCCGAGGCAGAGTCTTTCTTAGCTAACACAGGCACTCAAGGGGAGGGCAGTGATTTGGGGGATGTCTTAACAGGGTTCATGGCACCGGTACTACAGCTTTAAAGTTACCCATTTTAACCTGGTGCTTTTTTTTGTCTGCTGGGTGTCTTCTTGGTAACGTGTTTGAATTGCTCTTCTGCTTGTGGAGTCATTTCAGTTTAACTGCACTATATATGATGACTGCCTCCCTATGATTAAAAGCAAAAGAGTAACTTGCCCTGTGTGCCTCATATATACAGATAAATGGAAGTTCCGTAGAGCTCTCCCACTTTTCACAACCCTGAAACGTTATCTCCGATATCTTCAACCTGTGCTAGAAATGTTCTCTAGTGAGTTTGCTGCCCCAGTGCAGCTTGCTCAATAGTTTTTTTTTGAATAACTTAACTGGGAAGCAATACGAAATCTCACTGTTTAGGGATAATGAGTTAATCATAGAGTCTATCTCCTTCCCATTTCAATTTTTGTCTCATTAAATGGGATTCTCTTGTTTCCTCCCAAGAATGCCAGGACTGGTGGGCAGCAGGTTGCAGACAGAACAGTTCTACACTTCCTGCGAACTGCACAGTCTGTTCTGCTGTGAAGAGCCTTCAGATAGTGACAGACTTTGGAGAAATATCAGAAAAACTCCGGAGGTCTCAGCCTTTTCTAATCAAGGTAATGGAGCTGTAAGGCTGAATGATTAGTTCAAGCTCTTGCATAGCACCAGCTAATGAACTCTGTCCAGTATTTTCAATGACAAACTCATAACTGCAGTTTGAGCTAGAGCATATGTCTAAGAAGGCATTCAGCCGCCATTTAGGGGATGAAGAGTTCACCACGTCCTTAGCCAATTGTTTCAGTCGCTAATTACTGCTGTGGTTAAAGGTATACTAAGATAGATAGTTGTCACTCTTGGATCTTCTTTGGCAGGATGGAAATGGGAGAGGGGAAAAACCCCAGGTGCAGAGTTTTCATCCTTCTGTCTTTTGTTGTTTAAGACAGGGCAGCATTTTTCTTATGAAGAGTTAAAGCGTTTTCAGTCCCAGGATCCAGAACTGGCAGAGGTTATAGTAGAAGAAAATTCAGCTGAACTGTGGAGCTGCCTTCCAAGACAGAGCTTCCCATTTTTCTTTCCCTGGTGAGTCAAAGACAAAGCATGCGATAGATGTACGCTTCCCTTCTGCAGAGATGCCTAGGCTTTGCCTGTATGAATTGCCAGGAGTTTGCAATTTGCAATTTAACTGGAGAGAAAGGGAAAAGGAGCAGATTACAGGCTTCTGCCCATCTGCTGGCGCTGCCTGGGTTCAAACAGAAGACTTCTGCACTAAAGGTGACGTGTTGTGTATTGAGACTTCATATACTGCTCCCCTAACAAGACAAAAATATCCCAGTGATTGCTTGGTCCTGCTCTTCAATCCCTACGTTGGTCATCTGGGTCGTGATCTGATCGCCTGTGGCAACTGGTTTACGCTTCTAACGTGATTAATCACCTCTGCTCAGTGGAAATCTTCTACCATTAGCTTTGACTAAGAAGCAGTATCTTGACTTTTGCAAAACACTGAAAAGTAATAGAAGGCCAGAGGATCCTGCAATTTGTGTTTGGTCTCACGGTGGAAAAACAGTCTGTCTTAATCCTGGCCCTCTCTTAACCATACCAAATAAAACTTTGTGGCTACAAAACGTTGGAACAATCCAGCACTCTCTAAGGCTGCAGAGCAACCTGGCATGTTAGTGTAGTCTTTTCATGTGGATACCAGGAAAAAGCAATGCAGGAAGGTGCCACCTGGTGTGGAGCAGGCGCCCTGGCACGTTCCTATGAGCAAAGGAGCAGTGTCCTGCTTGATGATAGAGGGAGTGCAGCCAGACTTGGAGAAAGGCATGACGGAGTCAGTTCTTTGGCTAATGCTTTAGATGATTCTTGTGGTGATTCTCAGCCACAGCGCTGGTAGATGGATGATATGGGTACAGAAGTATTAATCATGTTAAGCCACTAGACAGAAATGTAAAAATAACAAGCCCCACCCTGCCTGTTCCAGTTACATTCCCTGGCCTAGAGAATTGACTTGGATTCCCCCCGCCTTGCCATGTGGTTTCAGTTACTGTTGTGTACAATGCCACCTCTCTGCACTTTTGGTAATTATTGAATATGATCAATGATTCAGATTGTTTTAAGGGAAGATGGGAAGGAAATTGTTTAGGCATCCATAGTGGTATATTTGTTCCCGGTTTAAGTAGTCATGCTGCAGATACTAAGAGGAAGGTAGGAAGGAGCTCAGGTTTAGAAACTAAGAAGTTGAGTTTTGCTCCCAGGACTGATGTTTATGCTCAGTTAGCATAGTAGTTTTCTCTGCTTTCTGCTTCAGTCTCCCCCTTCACAAAGAGGCTAGCCTTTTAAACACAAGCATTATCATAGTGTGATCTCTTTTTAATGTGATGTTTTGTTTTTAAGGAACAAATCTCTGAATAAAACTTGGATTCTGCAGGAATTTTTCCCTGCTTCCTCCTTGCTATCCTTCCCTAAGGCAGTGTCCCTAGAGAGCTGCTTCCTCATCCGCCATCCGGATTTGAGGAATAAGGTGAGAAATTCATCCCAGAGACATGGTCTCCCTGTCTGTGGGCCTGTGGGTTGTCATCCAGAAGCTCCAGCCCTTGCATGCAGCTGAGCCAAAGTTTGCCATAATCTACTGGTAACTGGGGGGAGCAAGTAGCAAACCTGTGGTTTGCAGTGTCTCACCGTGTGCAAGGCTGTGGCTTGCCCCTAGTTTGATGAAGCAGACCCCGGAGAAGCTGGCAAGGTCTCTGAAATATTCTCCTCTTGTCTCAGAGCTATAGTTTGCACAGCCTGTTTGCTGTTGGAAGTGGACAGCTCACCCTGACCGTTGTGCCTCTGGACAAGTGTAGAGGACAGTGCAAGACATTCAAGGTGGAGCTGGAAGCTGGAGATCTCGGTGAGTACCTGTGTTGCAGCATGCAGGGTCTGGGAGGTCATTTGGAGCCAGGAGACTGCTTCCAGCAGGGTCTCTTAGCTCTGACTCCTAAGAAGGTGATGTATGCCATTACCTCCTCCAGCCTGGTATGTGCCTTCAGCAGCTCTAGCAGGAGAGAAGAGTGATCCTTTTGGATCAGGAGTTTGTGGCCTGGAACATGAACAACTTGCTACCACGAGATGCTCAGTGTGAAGGTGCCTAAAACTGAGCAGAGAGTGTCTACATGAGAGACAATTAATGCACTGCTGGGTATTACAAACCCAATATGTCACAGAGGGCAATGTCTTTTCAGAGTTTCCATATACCTATCACCTCATGGGGTACATGGGCAGTCCTTAGGGATGGATTCATCTAATACAGCTTCTTCATTGCATCTCCCAAAGGTTATGCCAGCACGGATTACTGGACGATGAGCTTCACTGCCAAAGGGACAGAGCCTGCACTCGTTTGTGATGGAGTTGCCAGCTAAGGACGGTGGGGAGGGAAAACGGAGCTGCTTCCAGGACAAGAAGACTTTCAGCTTTGCAGCCAAAGCAATGTCTTGAAAGTGATAGAGCTGGGGCAATGGGGCAGGCAGCTTTGCCACCCTGCATGTTTACAGTGTTTAAAAAACGACTGTTTTCCTGATCTTTGAGGTAATTCTTTGCCTTTCCTCAGATGTATTTTGGGAGAAGCTCAAGCTGCTTATGTCCTTCCCTGTCCCCGCAGGTAAGCCCTGGGTTTGCAGCTAAGGGTTTTTCCAGGAGCAGCAGAGGGATTTCTCAGGATGAGATTCACCTTGTGTCCTTTGTGGATTATGGCACTTCCGAAACTTTCAGGGAGGGTTGGGGATATAGGGGGTGTATGACTTTTCTGTGTACATTCCTCCTTAGGAGGAGGCTTTGAGCCTATCAGGCCAGCTCTATAAAGGGAATGAATCGGTGAAGTGTTCCAGTTCTACCCCATCTCTCCATTGCGTACAGAGCTAACGTGCCTCAACAGTGTGCCCCGTAAAGCCAGTCTCAGCTCTATGCTCCAGGCCTGGAGCAAGCCTTACAGCCTAGGAGCGGAGATCCTCACCCCCTCCATCGTTCTTTTACCAAATGATTCTGTTCAGGCCTCTGTGTCTTGTAATCACTCTTCTGTGGTACTCTATCAGCAAGTTGTAGGTGAGTCAAATAGTAACTGTGCTTTTTTTCCCCACCTCCTTTCTTACAAAAGTACTGGAGCAGGTTTCAGTGGTCGTGCTGCTGAGAGTGCAGTAGTTCCGGATGGAGACAGGGTCAGGTGCAGAGAAGCTCTCGACAAGTTTCGTCTTCTGATTGTGCACCTAAAGCACCAGCACTGTTTGTCCATTTTCCTATATTCCTTGCTGTGGGAGGTGCTGACTGTGTTCCCTGCCCCGGATACCTGCGGTAGCACCTGAAAGCGTCCTTCTCCCTGGCTTTTTTGCACTGGCTCCTTCCAGGCCTGCAACTGTCTTCAGAATGAACGTTGGTTTTTCCTGAGTCCCTTCCAAGCTGCCTTTGCATGCTTCCTGTTGCTTGAGCGCTGCTTTATCCAATGCCCTGAGAGAGGCTCGGTTTCAGTGTTTGCAGGCTGCGGATGCTGCGGTCCCTTCCAAGTTTGATCCTTTGGGTCTGTTCCTGCTGTGGAAGATCATTTACAGATGTGTCAGGCTGAACTCATGGGCCAGGGCTGGGGTTCAGGACATACTCTCACACTTGTTAATATGGAATTGGGAGGGGTCTTGTTTGAAAGCAAGTTAATTCTGTTCTCAGGAGCAAGAACCTTTTCCTTTGTAAATATTTTACATACATTTAAAATGACCGATTGAAAAATGTCTGGGGGAAGAGGGAGGGGGGAGATTTTTTTTGAGCAAGACCAGAAGAATGGGAGCAAGCTTCTTATTTATTAATCTTAGTATGGTCTGGCAAAAGCTGCCAAATGGGATAACCATGTCTGGCTCCTGTACAAAGATAAGACAGAGGACAGTTCCTGCTCCAAAGAATTTAGTCTGAGGCCTTGACACTGCAAACATTTCTATGCATAACCCTTGTGTTTCTCCTGTTAAGTAATGAGAACAACCCCAGCGCACCTGTGTCAGTCTGTATGTTTGACCCTTGCAACTGGATAAACATGCACCAGATTTAGTAGAACCAAAGGGGGGGAGTTTAACTCTCTCAGAACAGAAAAGGACTAATATAATTGGTAGCAAAACATTAAAGGGATTGGATTAATAAGATTTCTGTTAGTACTGTTAGTGCTTGGGGTGTGTTTTACCCTTATGACACTACATGCGGTCCTGTACATGCCAAGACACACACGCCACCCCTCTTTCTTCTTGAAGCCTGGATTGGATCTTAGTTCATGGAAAGTCGGGAGTTCAGTGATGGCAGGATTAGGTCCTATGTTAGTGACTGTTGCTATGTACGCTTCGGCAGCTTCTCAAGTCGAATTCAAAGGCCGACGGGGTTACTTCACCTCTTACTGTTTTTGCACCTGATCCATTTCTGTAAAGCACTCGGAGATGCATGCAGAGAACCTGCCGGACCCATTATTATTGAGATAGCGAGTGGTTTGGTGATGCTGTTACTTCTAAGTGTCCTTGAATGTAACTTGTAAAAGAGCTGCAGAGACAATTCTCAAGTGTCTGTGAAATGCCTGTATTTTGTGAGTCGCACTTAAGCCATTGTGGCTATCTGGCTGCTTTGGGAAGAAGCGGAGGAAATCAATCTATTTACAATTGCTGTTTAGATTTTGGGGGAGGGGTCTCTAGGGCAAATTTGTGCCCACTTAGCAAAAGTGCTCTCGCGTATGGCTTCTTCCATGCTCAAAGTGTTGCAGCTGGTTGGACAAAAGATGGTGAATCTGGACTGTTTGCAGATCAGCTTTCCAAGTGCACTTTATGGTTTCTGCATAAGTTTCCAGATCTGTGTCTAGGCGATACATTGCATATGTCCCAACCTTGCTCCCTTTGGAGTTTACATCATTTGTTTTTAAACTTCCAGTATATTTTCTCTTCCTCCTCCAAAAGCTGTAAGGAATTAGCTGCTAAACTAAAACAGGAGGGCAATTCTGCTGATAAAGAGCCGATTTTGGCCCTAGCCTCTGTTGAGTGCGGAGCCCCAATCTGCATCGCAGCTTCTAGAGCAGCTCCTGTTTTCAGCTGCCAGGGAAGTAGTGCAAATGTCTTTTGCATTGCATGCAGGCTTTGCATTTGCATTTTGCCGTGCAAAAGGAAGCTTTGACTTCATGGCCAAATGGCTGCAAGTGAGCCCTTGGCCATCTTGCCTGCTCCCAGTGGGCCTTCACCTGGGGCTCCAGCTTCTCTCAGCCTTTCCAAGGGCTACAGGAGGCTATTGCTGTTCCCCAAAGAGCCAGCCAGCTCCTGGTGATCCACTGAGGCTGGAACCAAATCAAGGGAATGTGGCTGTTTTCTCTGCTATCGAGGCATCATGGTGACAAACATGATCGGATGAGTCGCAGACTGTGTGCGTCACATCGTCTCCCTTGCCTCTGGCTTCACTTTGGCACTTGCATGTGTCCAAATATATGCGTTGTTTTAGACAATCCCCACCCTCCACCCTGGCCAGCTCAGAGAGGTGCCCACTAAACTGTACATCCTGTTTTTTGAGATCTATTGGGTGCTCCAGAGCTCTTTGCCTGTGAGTTGGGAGACAGGCTCCTGCTCATCTGCCATCCTCTTTGCAGCAGAGGCTGCAAAGCTGCTCTGAAATCACATCGGGAGGCGCCAAGAACCGAGCGGGCAGAGATGATGGAAGGGTCATTTCTCTGCTTGTCAGAGTGGAAAGATAGACTGCCACCCATGACTTGGATAGCAGGATTGTGGTCTAAAGCTGGTTTCCAAAAGCAAGGGTCATTGACCGTTGTTCTTGGTAACTCCTGAACTCAGGGTAACTGGAAAGGCAGAGAAAGGAGTATTATTGCTTGCTTTGGTACCAGGAAATCAGCATCCCCTACAGGGGCTAAGCTTCCAGTTTCTTCTGATTTCTTTCGTTGGTATTGCACACAGAAGTCCCCCCTTGGCAGCTCTGCACATCGCAGCCTCGAGCTCCCTTTGCAACACCCGGGAGAGCTTTCTAGGATCTGGTTTCCCTGGAGTCTTGGGCCTTTAGCTTCTCCTGCTAGTCCTCTCACTGTAATGATCTGGCAGAGAAGTTGGTTTTACTGCAAGGGAACTGGGCTGGATCAGAGCACCTCCCTTCTCTCGTGGCTGGCCTCCCTAGCTTTCTAGCAGCAAGCTTTGCCCGTCTTTTTGCAGCAAGTCCCGCTCCCAGCATGAGAATATGCTGCGTGAGAGGAGGTGGAGGGCAGGAGAGGACATTGCCAGTGACGGGCGATGTGATAATGCCAGCGTCTCCGCAAGGCGATCCTCCTGCCTCCTCTTTGGTGAGCAAGCATTTAAATTCTTCCTGCTCACATCAGTAGCTCTGCTGGTGGGAGTGAAAGTTGCAGGATCCGCCAGTCCCGTGCTCGGCAATCGGGGCTCCTTGGCTCCCATTTAGCTCAACGGCCCCTAAGGGACCCAATGGAGCACTTGCTGGGGTCAGGCGGTAACGAGGAGGCCGTTTCCCAAACTTTCTCTTCGTAAATTTTATATTTAGAGCTATGTATTCTCCTCTTCAGGAAACTACTTCTTGTAAAGGATGGATTTACTGTCCTGCTGAGTTAAACAAGGGAGATGCTGGTCTCTCCCTTTGCTTTGGAGATTCAAACAAATGCAAGTTGATTTATATTTAGTGTTATCTCTTTGTCTACAGGGAGGGGAGGCATATTATAAAGGCTCAGGGGTGCTGGGAAGTAAAGCTATATATGCATAGAGACTGTTTCAATTCTGTACACTATAAATTCAGTGGTGGATAACAAAAAAGAATGTAAATATGCAATTAATGCAGAATTTTATGGATGGTCATAATTTAATATATTGCAAACTTTGTAAATACTTGGAAAAAGCCTGTAAAGTGTGTAAATAAATGAGATTTGTATGTAAGAAGAATAAAAAAGTTTTTACTTTTTGCAATTAAATAGAAGCGTTAATGCACCTTTTCCCCCTTTTCTGATTTTTCTTTGTTAAACTGTTGTTGAGGTTATTTAACCCTTGCTAGGGCACTTTTTCTAAGTGGCAATGTCATTTTAAGGGAAAGTTGGAATACATTTGTTTGGAATATGTTGAAAGAAACGAATGTTTTGCCAGTTTTAGCCTGTTTCCCTAAACAAAGTTGATGCAACAGCTCTGTCTGTCCCTCCTTCCTTTCTAATAACAGTCTCTGTCCTTCCCTCATAATTAGCTTATTTCAGTCAAGCTCTGACACAGGGGTAGAAGAGGGTAAGTTCTTCCAGAGTTCATAAAAACAGGCACGTAGAGGAGAGAGATCCTGTTACTACCAGGACGATGCGTTCGCCTTCTCTGGTTAGACACCAGAGAAGCCATGTTGAAGACCCTTAAGTCAGGAGAAAACCAGGCTTCGCTGCTTCTGCGCTTCAGGCTTCTGGCTTTACGGAGCCCACTGGTGCAGAGCTGACCCCTTTACACCCCATCAGGTATCAGCCTGTAGCTCCTGTCTCATGTGATGAAGCGGTTGGGTCCCAGGGGTTGTGGTGGACTGCCTGTTTCTTGATTGAGCAGAAGAAAAGCTGCATTCCTCACGCACTTACCTAATGCCATCTGGACGCGAGCTTGTCAGCTCAAGGGTGGGGCTTGGACCTTGCACAGTTCATCTTGGTGCTTCGGATGTTGGCTCCAGAAAGAGTTGCTGGGGCAGGTTGGGGATTGAGAAATTGTCCTGAACCCCTTTCGCCAACAGCCGCGCCTGACCTGCCGAACGCGCTGGCTGTTACGTTGCCCCAGCTGAACGTGTGTCACTGCCCCGCAAGCCACCTGCCCTAGTTGTCCAGAGCACACGTCCTAGTTGTTCCAGGTCCATTTTCCTGAGAGCATCACGTGTCCCCTTGTCATTACTTATTGTTGTCTATTGCCGCCTCAGTTGCCTTGGCAGGACGCTGTAGTGCTCGGGGCTCTCTCCCTTTTTGGAGCTTGCTCCTTCATCTCTACTCACAGTTGCAGACAGCAGCGCGTGTGCTGAAGTTTTGTCAGCGCTCTCGTTCCTCGTAAGCCAGGCCGTGGTGGGCTGGCTGATAGCAGTTGGAGCTAGTGTTGTTGTTTTCTAGTTGTTTCTCCAGGTATCCAGGAATGCAGCAGCAGCAGAGCTGTTGAAATATCTTGTGATGGAGGCAGGTTTGCCGTGACTGCAGGCCTGCAGTTGATCTTAGCAATAAATGGGAACCTCCTGGCTTGAGCAGATGAGTTGAAGATACTCTATTGAGACATTAGGATCAGACCCCCTCCCCCCCCTTGCAGAAATTGTTGGGCTACTGAGAGCACAAAAGACCGTGGACCTTGCTGCCTAATGAAGGAGGAGGTAATATGCAGAGGTAAGAGATCTGGGGGCAGTAGGACAGCTTCTGTGGCAATAAAGGTTATCAAAGTTGTCTAAAGCAAAAGGAAACAATCACAGAGCAGGACCTGGGGAGATGGGAGGGGAGAGGAGGAGGCAGAGCAGACAGCGTGTGATTAACTTGGCTCTGCTAGCCCGAGCTGCCCACCCGCTGATCCTTCCTAATAGTCTGGGATCCCCAAAGACAGTTCCTGGAGCAGAGCCGGAGCAGTTGCACAATCACAGATGGGAAGGAAGAGATGCAGGCGGGAAGGTCTCTGCCAGACAGTCTCCAAGGTAGCCAGTGCGGTGTGCAATTCAGGAAACCTGATGCTGAGCCCTCCAGGTGTCTGGCTGGGGACAGCACACAGCCAGTCCCTGCAGAGTTAACGGTCTGGTTATTCCAGCCAGAGCTGAAGGCAAATGCAGACCCTGTCTCCCTTGACTCCCCTTTCTGGGGCAATTTCAGCTTCGTGTCCTGTTCACCCTCTCCCACTCACCCTGTTCCTCAGGGCACGGGGAAGGGACATAAACCCTCTGCTTAATCACCCCCCTTTCCAGCAGGGTTGGGGGAAATCTGGGGATGCTGTTCCTCAGCTGCCCACTGCCTTTCCCCACAACGTGACCGATGCACAGGTGCCGGGGCTGGACATGGTGGGCTCTGACTCCCAGCTGGGTAGTTACAGTGCTGCAAACCATTCAGCCATTGCATCTTGTTGCCTTCTTTCTAGAGGTGGCTGCGTTCCAGCCGCAGGGGAGGACCCTTGCGTACCACAAGGCTTTGTATTTTTTTGCCAGTTGCTTAGGGATTATTATTATAGCTTAGGAGAAGAGGGGCAGGAGGTAGAAAAGAGACCCCATAACTGAGGGCTAAGCATCTTGGGTTTGGAGCAGCAGATCCCAGCAGAGGCTTGGATGAAAATGCCAATCCAGGGATTATGATTTACGCATGGGCTCTGTCTCGGGGAGTGGACCCTTGTGCGCTCATTGGCCTTAGAAGTGCTGCTGCTGCTCCATCAGGGCTGATATGTGAGATGGGTGTGTTCCATGTGGCTCCGAAACCACTCTAATAAAGAAATACATTTCCTCCCCAATCTTCAAGCTGTTGGGTGTTCCTTGCTTTTGGGAGGTGCTTTAAATCTGACTGCCAGAGCCGTGGGCTGCTAAGATCAGAAGCTGGCTGCACGATGCTGAGCTCAGGTCTTTCTCCCATTTTCCTGTTGCTCACAGCGCTGGAGCTAAGCTGGTCCCTAAGTGATGAAGAAAAGAAGATAATTGTGGATGGGCATAATAAATACCGCTCCCAGGTCTCTCCTCCTGCTATGGATATGCTGAAGATGGTAAGTGGCTTTTATTGTAGTGAAATGTCAGCGGGTGCCTGTCTAGTGCAAGCCTCTATCTTAATGCTAGTAAGGATCGGGATCTTCTTTAGGGGAGGCAGAGGAATTCCGGTATAGGGCTACAACTAGACATCCACAGAGGGGGGCCCTAAATGGCCTCTAGAGAGATGAGTTTCCTTTCATCTGCAGAAGCGACTTTGATTTTTTCTTTTTTTCTTTTTTTTACAAGTTGCTAAGTGTGATCTGAGTTCCCTGATGTGTCAAAACAGCACAGCTTTCCCTCACATCAGTGCCAGTCAGAGCTTCTTATGACGGGACAGACAGGCAGGTGCCTGCAGTGAGACATTGCAATGAGCGGGTGCCCCACAGTGAAGTCACCCAGCTGGCAGGAGAACCCTGCTCTGAGCGCTGTGCAGCGCACAGCTCTAGTGCACCGCATGCACTTTATATGCTTTTGCAGGTGGATGTACCTTTTATCTATAGGAGAGGATGTCAAACTAGAACCTGACCAGCAGGTCATTCAGTTGTTTTGGCTTTCCCTCGTGCTCCCAGTCCCCACCGCTACTTGTGCATGGTTGCCTTGGTGGTGAGGGATCTCCAGTATTGCTAGGGGAAACTGAGGCATGGATCTGGCATCACTCGTTGGTGCAGTGGGAGCAAAAGCAAGCTCTCAAGCCAGTGCTGCTTTACGTCTTATTTGGCCCCTTGATTTGATTAAAATTCAATTACCACTTTCATCTTTCACCTCGCGTGATTCTCCTCACTGTTTGCAACATGCTTGGAGGAGCACTGCTGTTTATCATAGCTAGTTGGAGTGCTTCACTCCTTCGGTCATAACGCCCTTGGAGGAGACCTCCCTGTCTGGACCAGAACTTGCAGAGAATGAACTCAATGTTTGTGGGTTGGTTAGTGCGAGTTTGCCTGGTAAACACAGCAAAAAAGGCTATGTTCAGGGATAGAGAGTCTTAACAGGTGATTTCAGAGTCAAAGGGAACAGCGCAAGGACCCTACGCAGCACGATTCCCATGGAAACCCACCAGAGCAAGGCACGCAAAACTCAAAGACTAAGGGCTTTGGAGCCAAAGTCTTAGCGAAAGCCTGAGGGACACAATCTCTTACGTGTCAAAAATGTGGGGCAGGCTCCTTAAGTCAGGGGCAATTCTGAACAAGCCAGCGCTGTCCCGACTGCAGCTTTGATTGCAGATTGTGGGCTTTCAGAGATGCTCCCCTCTGCAGGGCTGCCTTGTTTCTTAGTTTAGTAGGATCTGTTTAAATGTAAAGGGCCCGCTGACAGTCCAGAACGGAAGCGGTTTTCTGAAGCGCAACAAATATTTAGCGTAGAACAGCCCTGACAGTTTCTTGGTAGAGATTTTCCATGAAAGCGCTGTCCTTGCCTCCCTCCCTGGGACATTTGCTTGCTCTGTCTTTGACTTTGCCTCTGAGTTCACCTGCTGCCGTGGCACCGTGCCTGGCTGAGGTCACCCTGGGCTTCTGTTTGGGACACGGATCTGGTTGCTGTGGAAATAAGTTAGACGATGGGGGATACGTAGCCTAAAGCGACTCTTTTAATGAGGCAAATCCTGCAAATGCGTATCCCCTGTTTATGGAGCCCAGCTCTGTGCCAAAGAGAGTGGGGTGTGCGCTCCCTAAACAGGGTTTGCAGCTGCCACTCTCAGCCTGGCTTGGGGCCATGGTGGGAGGTCACCTAGCTCCCCATGCCCCCACCCAGAGATTTTGGTTTCTTGCCTCTTTCCTGCTGGTCCTTCAGTGCTGCTGCTCTGCCCCAGCGCCCCAGGGTCTTCCTGCCTCCTCTTGAAACCCCAATGGTGAACTGCCCTGTATCAGGGCTGTGCTTTGTCCCCCTCAAATCCAGCCCTGACTCAGGCTGGGAAGGTCCCCCTTAGGGCCTGCTGCTTGCCTGGGCTGCCTTCCAGTCCGCTGCAGAAGCAAAGCTGCTGTCTCCATCAAATGGCGTGAGGATGGTCCAAACAGCTGTGTCGTAGGGTTCGCTGTCTGCCTCCCGGGTGAGAAAACTTCTCCCTCTCTCCTGCCTAGCAACATGGCTAGTGAGGGCCCGCAGGCTAGGGGGCTCAGCTGGCGGAGGGGCTGTTGCAGCTCCACGTGCTGGAGGGGTCTCTTGGCAGGCAGCCATTCGGCCGTATCTTGGATCCAAGCGAACAGATGATGTTCCCAGGAGCGTGGGCTCCCTGTGCAGCTGCTAAGGGAGCTGTGCCCTGCTCTCCTCTTGTCCCCATCCCCACCCTGCTCAAAGAGGGAGGTCTCCTTCCCGTTCCTGGATGACCCAGGGTGAGTTTCCTCCCTTCCTCCATTGGACTTCTTGGTTTCTTCACCCTAAGTTGAGGATACTTTGTACCAATGTTACAGATGCTCTGGGACCCAGGGAGAGGGACCCATGTGGCAAGGTGGTTAAGATTTGTGCTGCTGCACTGACCCTAGCCTGTTTGATCTGTAGGTTAAGTTTTGGTTTATGCTGCAGTTGACCAAGGAGCTCCCTTTTCCTGAGGGCTTTTCAGAGGGCACTAAGAGAGACCCACATATTGGACTGGGATTTGAATTTTCCTCACAAATGGGGGAATCATGGCGAGAGAGCCCAGGGGTCCTTGGAACCCATTTCTACCACCTCAGGGAGGGAAAAAGCAGATGTGTCCTGTAGATGTCAGAGAGCCCAAGAAACTCGGCCGAGTCTTTCTCCGTATGCTGATGCTGAGCTCCTTTCAGAGCTGGGACATGGAGCTGGAGGCCTTCGCTCAAGCCTATGCAGAAAAGTGCATCTGGGACCACAACAAGGAGAGGGGTCGACGAGGAGAAAACCTCTTTGCTATGACCCCAACCCTGGACCTGGAATTTGCTGTGGAAGACTGGAATGGGGAGGAGAAGTACTACAACTTGACAACTAGCACATGTGCCCCTGGGCAGATGTGTGGCCACTACACCCAGGTACTGGGCTACTGGGGGCAAAGGGCCTGGGTTCTTGACAGAAGAGCTCTACAAGAGCCTGAGTTTTCCCAGAGCCTTTGCAAAAGGAGCACAGGAAACAGGGGAACCTCGGCATAGTTCTAACCATTAACCAGCCTTTCAGATCAGACCTCTTTAAACAGTCTCTGCAGTCCTTTTTTGGTTACTCAGCAGAGCTTGGTGCTAGCTTGCCTTGGGCAGAGATGAGGTCTGAGTGCATCCTCCCAGCTCCAGTTTCTTTGGGTGGGTAGGTGGGAGTGGGGAGGAGCAATGACATTGGTGATGAATGTGAGGATGGCTCTATGAAGATTCCCAGAGCCAAAGCAGAGTTGATGATGCTCTGCTTGGATGGATTATATGGTAGGAAAGCTGTGGCACCTGGATATGTGGGGTTGTAGGCCTAGGTTGAGGAAGTGGGTATGTGGTCCAGATAGGGGCAAGGAATGGAATCCTGAATGCTAATGCTATGCAGGAATGTGGGATCTGGGGCACACACAAAGAGACGAGGGGGACACTGGTGTGGTGACAGAGCAGCCTTGAAGGCCATGGAACAGGCTGCCAACAGGGCATCTGCCTTCGACCAATCACCTAACCTTCATCTTCGGTCCTTGCCTTAGGTGGTCTGGGCAAGCACACATCGTATTGGCTGTGGGGTGAAGTTTTGTGCAAAGATCAATGGTATTGAAGCAGAAGACATGTACCTGCTTGTTTGCAACTATTATCCCCCGTAAGTTCCCTGTTTCACGTTGCTTGGTACATCTTGACTGGGTTTCTTTACTAGAAACGTCCTTCCTTCAGTCCCTGTAGCACAACAGGAAAAGCCTCTGGCCTTGTTCAGAAATAATAGCAAACCCATTCCAGGGAAGGCCTTTGTTGTTTTAGGTTGGTCACAAAGGAAGGAAGGGTTGCCTGGTAATCCTTGCCCATGATTGCAGTTCCTGAGACCTGGTTCAGCTCCTGGCGCAGATCTAGGGAGGGAGCTCCCCCCTGGAGAGCTGCCCAAGGCTGATGCTGCAGTAGCTGAGGGTTGAAAATGGCAGCTCCCTTCTCTGAATCTTGTTCTTCTCTGCCAGAAGCAGCCGTACCTTGGGGTGGGATGGGAGGAGCATTCATACCAGCAGGACGTGCTATGCTGAAGTGCCTGAGGTGGGAGGAGGGGTGATGCTCACTTGCTGCATGAGGGCGAAGCCCTGAGACTAGCCTTGGGGATGGCTTAGTTGGAGCTGGTGGAAAGCAATCCCAGCATTCAGCTGCTGCAGGCATTCCCGAGGGCATTTAGTAGAAGGGAGACAAAATCACTGCCCCAAATGCCCATTGACTGTCCTTTTCTAAGAAGTAGTAAAGGATCTGGCTCACCTTCTGCTAAAGCTTATGGAGCCGTCTCCCCCCATTTCAGTGGGCTTGGGGGTCAGGCCACTGAGTGAATGATATTAACAGTCAAGGCAGGGGACCAAGACTTGTTTTTTACCTTAACTTTGAGTTTCATCCTGGTGGAGATATTTCAGTCAAATCGAACGCTCTCTGTGGGATGGGTGTTTCCTCTTCTTTCTCACAACTTCCTTCTTTTTGTTGGCTTTTTTGGCTTCCAGGGGTAATATGAAAGGCCGAAAGCCGTACAAGGAAGGAGCCTCATGTTCCCAGTGCCCGGAGGGTACCTTGTGTGTCAACTCCTTGTGTGGTAAGTGAAGAGAAATGGCCTGTGTCCCTAGATAGGCTATTGGGACTGATAGCCCTGGGCTGGGTCCAAGCTCTGAACTGTCCTGGAGGCATCAGAAAGCCCTGGGCTGGCAGCTCCAGGGATGCGTGGACCATGAGACATCACATGTGATGGCAGATGACAGCTCCGAGACAGGTCAGCTGCCATAGGACAAGGAGGATTGAACAAGGACCTTGTACCCCCCTAGCCAACATTTAGTGCCCCAGGAGGATGCCCCATCCCTAAGGGACAGGGCTGTGGCCTTCTTGCAGCACGTTGTGTGAGGGAGATGAGACATCTCTAGCTTGGGACCCTGGACTGGGGGATATCCCAGAGTGACCTGAGAGGGGTCAGCTACTGCTTCTCCCTGCGGTGGATTTCTGTGGACCCCACTCAGCAGTGGGAGGATTCAGCTGAGTTCAATTGACTCTAGTGCTAACTCGTGGCACTTTTCATCTCTTACCAGAACCCACTGTAGAAGAGACCACTACATCCTCTGTGACAACAAAGGCAAGCCCATCCACCACGGCCAAGCCAAAACCCACAACCCCACTGCCAACCACAACCATGGCCAGGCCAAAACTCACAACCACACCATCAACCACAACCATACTAGTAACCTCAGCCAAACCAAAACCTGCAACTACACTACCAACCACAACTTCAACCAAGCCAATACCCTCAACTACGCTACCAACCCCAGCCAAACCAAAACCTGCAACTACACTACCAACCACAACTTCAACCAAGCCAATACCCTCAACTACGCTACCAACCCCAGCCAAACCAAAACCTGCAACTACACTACCAACCACAACTTCAACCAAGCCAATACCCTCAACTACGCTACCAACCCCAGCCAAACCAAAACCTGCAACTACACTACCAACCACAACTTCAACCAAGCCAATACCCTCAACTACGCTACCAACCCCAGCCAAACCAAAACCTGCAACTACACTACCAACCACAACTTCAACCAAGCCAATACCCTCAACTACGCTACCAACCCCAGCCAAACCAAAACCTGCAACTACACTACCAACCACAACTTCAACCAAGCCAATACCCTCAACTACGCTACCAACCCCAGCCAAACCAAAACCTGCAACTACACTACCAACCACAACCACGGCCAGGCCAAAACTCACAACCACACCATCAACCACAACCATACTAGTAACCTCAGCCAAACCAAAACCCACAACCACACTACCAACCACAACCATACTAGTAACCTCAGCCAAACCAAAACCCACAACCACACTACCAACCACAACCCCAGCCAAGCCAAAACCCTCAGCCACGCTACCAACCACAACTTCAACCAAGCCAATACCCTCAACTACGCTACCAACCCCAGCCAAACCAAAACCTGCAACTACACTACCAACCACAACCCCAGCCAAGCCAAAACCCTCAAGTACACTACCAGCCACAGCCAAGCCAAAACCTGCAACTACACTACCAACCCCAGCCAAACCACTATCTGCAACCACAATACCAACCACAACTATAGCCAAACCAAAACCCACAACATCAGCACCCATCACAGCCAAGCCAAAATCTATAACACTAGCCCCCCCTACAAGCATTACAGCCAGGCCAAAACCCACCATGCCAGCATCCACCAAAACTATGGCCAGTTCAGAACCCATCATACCAGCAACCATCGCTATGGCCAAGCCAACACCCACCACAACCACTTCTGCGGCCAAACCAAAACCCGTTGCTACATCAGCAAAGCCAAAACTCACCACCACAACACCAGTACCTACCATAACAGCAAAGCCAAAACCTACCACAATGATGACAACCCCGCAACAGAAACCCACCACAGCTACAAAGCCAGCACTCACCAAAACAGAAAGACCCAGTCCTACTGAGGCAGTTGGGCTAACACTGACCTTTGAGCCCACATTAGACTTGGATTATAAAATATCTCCAGACACAGAGGCAGACACTGGAGAGCCTGTTACCCCCTTAACAACTGAGGATCCAGCCTTATTAGAAGTGGGCACAGCCTTCAGCCCAAAATCAATCCCAGAAACAAATAAAGGTGTGAAAGAGGGTGGGAGAGAGAAACCAGTCTTCTCCTTTTCCAGTCCATCTCCATTCCTCAGCCAAGTTATTCCAGAGATCAAGTTAGGTTTCAATAAAGCTGAGCTCATAACTCCCTCAAAGTCAGTGGTCTTCAGCCCTGAAGAGCCCACCTTCTTGCGTTTAACGTCATCTTCCAAAGAAACAAAGGGGCAGAGCCCTGCTTTCCAGACCTCCCTCGCAGGTAAGGTAATTGTGGAATCTGTCCCTGGCATGGACACGCAGATGTTCAGCGATCCCCAAGCAGCATGGAGTGTGCTTGGGAGGAACCAGTATCAGTCTGGTCCTCTGGATCCTTCTCTTGTATGTGGCACCAAACTTTTTCCTTACTCCTCCTCCTAACATTGAAAGGGACAATTTGGACCTGTCTCGTTTGTGAAGCATGGTTATGTTTCCAGCCTGCTCCCCACTAACCCACCAGCTGTGTTGTGCCTTCTCAGGATCTGTGCACTGCTGCCTTGCACCTCGGGTTGTCTTGGTGCACCTCACTGATGGACCTGCATGAGTGGGAGTTTCTCTTTGTCTGGCTCTTCCCCTCTAACTACCGTTTTTTTTTTCCCTTCTACCAGCAGGTGCCCTGGACACTGAAGAACTGGAGACAAACTCAGACCAGACAAGCATGGAGCAGCCCACAGCTGGAGCCCCCAGCACCTCCTTTGGGCTTTCTCTCTTCCTCCTGCCCAGTGTCATCTTGGTGGGCCTTCTGCTTTGAATAGTCTTTCTCAACTGTCCCTGCACCAGTTGCCAAGGCTTTCTTCAACATTGGTTGTCCCACCACCCTGGTAGGCTTGGGAGGCACCATGGACAATTCAGGTTATCACACTCTCTGCTGGGCCTTCTTACACTGGCTAACCCGCTCTAGCCCCATTGTGCCAAGGGTGGCTGGCAGTCCCGTAAGCACTAGGTTCCCGACCTGAGACCTGAGGGCAGGAGGGTGACTGCCATCATGCTGGGGACCATGGACACTGACACCTCTCCTTTTTTCCCCAGCCAGCCTGGGTTTCCGGTCCATTTCCAAACTGGAAATGATAAACAATCCCATCTCCCTGTGTGGCTGGCAGGCCCTGCCTCACTGTTTCCACAGGAAAAGCAGAACACTTTGGAAACCCAAATGGAGATAAGGCATGGTTGTTGGTTTGGTGTTTTTCTATCAGGATGAGTTTCCAACAGAAATGCTCTTTTTTTGTTGTTTTGTTTTTCCCTCCTGATGTGTCTGTTTGTCTCAATTTTGGTGGAGTTTCACCCGTGCCCTCCTTGTCCAAAAAGGATGATGTGGTTTTTTTTCCCACAGGAGAGGCTTTCTATTTACTTCCTGTTTCTGGTACAGCCATGGCCAGTACTATAAAGACGTACTCCTTTCTCCTCCTCACACCTCTACAACACTTGCTTCTTTCCTCACTTCTGTCTGCTGTATGTATCCATTCCACAGTTAGTCCATTGCTGTGACTTTACTTTACGCATGTGCGTGCATCTGTGTGCATGCATAGAAGCAAACTTATCAGCACTAGAAAGGAGCTACTGGCTCCTTCATAAAGCTTTTTTTCTGCATAGCTTCCCTCTTTGTGTAACTTAAGCATATGCTGTATTTGAAGTTAGATACAGACCCTGGTTGACATATATTTCGCGTGTGGTGGAACCTGGTCCAGGAGAAAAAAGTAATCATGTGCCCTTGTACAGTTGGAGCTTGAGAGATCCAAGTGAATGATGTTAGAGGTTAACAATGGTTCCAGGACTTGTTGCAGGACAGTTTTTATTCTCTGGGACACTCAAGACTTATCCCCCTGTGTGTCTGCTTTGGTCCTCTTAAGATTTCCAGACAAGTGTGTTAACTATGTGACAAGTTTTGCAGAAAGGTACTAGGAGAAACAGTCCTTCCTCTAAGTGTTGCATCCTTTGGTTTCTTAAAGATGAGGTGGAGAATGACCTGAAGTCCAATATTCCTGTCCCCCCCCCACCCCCAGGATGCTGTTTTCTCTGCATCTCCCAGAGCATGCACTGAATAAATCCTGTTGCAAAAGCTGTGCTGTGGGGTGTGCAGTGTCTCACTGTGGGATCCAGAGGCTGGGGGCCTGCTTACAGTATCTGAAAGACGCTCTTGGTTGCGTGCTTAGGTAGACATGCTAAATGACATGGCTCCTGGGGAGAGCTGCAGGGTTCTTTGGCTTTCCAAACGCATCTGGGTGCCAAAGTCCCAGAAGAGCCATTGGTTCTACAAGGCTGCAACTGTATGTTTTTAAGCCTGTCTAAAAGCACCAGGACGAGGAGGAGATTTAGTATGACATAGGGAATATTCTGCTAGCTCCCAGCTGAGTGCAGAGCAAAAATTCCACCAGGAATTTTTGGGCAAGGAAAGCAAAAGGGCTCTGAGTGAAAAAGATTGAAACTAGGGCTGGAGCACTTTCAGTTCAGAGAGGCCCAGCAGCCAGCCTCATCCTGCCCCCAAACGCACACACATTTTCATCTTTGCAGCAGAAAAAAAGAAGTTAAATGCAAGTGTCCTTCCTCCCGCTCCCCTAGGCACCGTGTTTATGCAGCATTTTTATTGGAGAACTTTACTCAGTGGCGAGCAGCACGCAAGGAAACAGCCTGGCCAGGAGTAAACCCATAGCATGGGAGTGGGGAAGCACCAGCAGCACTGAGATTAGATCTTTGCTTTTGCCTTTCCCCATCCTTGTGCCCCTGCTTGGCCTGATAAGGCTGCCCTGAGGCTTTGTATTTCCCTTCTCCCTTTAATCTTGCTGTAGGAGACCAGCAGCACCAGCTCTCTTACAGGAAGCCAGCTGCCTGCGGGGTTTTTTTAGGTCATGGTCACCGCTAGCCCTGCTAAATGATGGCCGGCAGATGGCGGTGGGAGAGACACTGCGGAAAACTGGGCAGCTTTGAACTCGCTACCCAACCCTACAGAGAGCTCAGTGCTTTATTTAATCAGAAGCATCAGCTGTATTTAAGAATCAGATTAAAAATAACCTCCTGCCCAGGTGCCGTGGTTGCTACATGGTCTCCTTGCAGGCTGAGCTCCTGGAAGCTGCTGCTGAGCTGCGTTCAGTGAAAAAAAATCAAGCCTTGGGCTAGTGACAGATGATGAAAATACAGCCGGAACTGTTACTGTTTGCTTGTTGTAAGGGGCCACAGCCTTGCTAGGGGTGAAGCTGGGTGAGCACTTCGAGACTGCAACCGTTATCGTGTGCAGGCAAAGGAGAGGGCCGTAGCATTAATTCCCTACAAATGGTTAAAGGAGCAGAAAAAGCAATCCTCCTCCAAGCAGAATCAGAGCGTTTGGGTAACATTTGATTTCTGTGCAAAGCTGGACCCCCCTCCCTCATTGCGATAGTCCTCCCCAAGCAGCAGCGTTGCTGGCTAACAGCGTTAGCACAAGCCTGTCAAGATAATTGTGGGACTTAAAACATTTTATTGTAATTTTGGTGCTCCAGATCCTAGTAAGAACAGCTGGGTTTCGTTTTCCTTAGGGCTTCAACTTCTAAAGTCAGGCAGTTGTGCAAGGACCTATTTTATATGAGTTCCTTACTACAGAAAATTAGAAACTAGAAGGCAAATAGCCTTTCCTGTTGCCTCTCTCTCGGCGTCCCCAGGACAGAGGGGCTGAGAGTCCCGTAGATAAGGAGCTTTTGGGCTGGTTTGTTTTAATTACAAATTATGGGGTTTTAGGGAAGGTGACTGCTTGGCAAAGGTGGGTCGCGGTGTGTATGGCGTGCAGGGAAGGCCACCAAACACTCAAGGGAGACCTTTGCGGCATTTCCAGACCCCGGTTTCCGCCACCGATTACTGCGACTGGTCCAAGGTGGGTATGAAGGACGCTCTGGCATCAGGGCAACCCGGCAAGCAAAACCCACCGGTCCGGGGAGGGGGAAACGAGGTGAGACGTGGGCCAAGATGCCACTTTGGAGCTTGGGGCAGCCCTAGGGCCACGCACGTGTCCGGAGGAGGCGGCGTTGCACGTGGTGAGTCCCGACTGACAGCGAAGAGGAGCTGGGCTGGAAAAGAGCATGTGGAAAGGGCTGGACCTGGCTTTGTCCAGAGGCAAGTAGCCAGCTCCGTCACGGGGAGCCCCGCGGTCAAACCGTGCCCGCAGTTATCCGAGATCAGCCCCATCGCCGGGGCCGGGGGGCTGCAGTCGAAGGAGACGGGACAAGGCTGGGGTTGCTCTGGGGAGCGGGGTTGCTCTGGGGAGCAGCGAGGGGGGATGCCCCATCCAGCGGGGAGCCACCGAACGTGTCGTGGTGGGCTCCCAGGGGCGCCCCTCCGGCTTGCGCCACAGGACGCAGACCAGGGCGGTTTGGTCACCATATTTATTTATTCCCCCCCACCCCCGCCGCCCCCGGCCCTGGACTGGGTTGCTATGGCAGCTGCATGCCAGGAACATAACCGCTTTTGTTAG